ACAGGAACACAAATCATGCATCAGCTCATCAACCACAGGAACACAAATCATTGCATCAGCTCATCAACCAGAGGAACACCAATTCATTGAATTAGCTCATCAACCACAGGAACACAAATCATGCATCAGCTCATCAACCACAGGAACACAAATTATTGCATCAGCTCATCAACCAGAGGAACACAAATCACTGCATCAGCCCATCAACCAAAGGAACACCAAATCATTGCATCAGCTCATCAACCAAAGGAACACAAATCACTGCATCAGCTCATCAACCAGAGGAACACCAAATCATTGCATCAGCTCATCAACCAAAGGAACACAAATCATGCATCAGCTCATCAACCAGAGGAACACCAAATAATTGCATCAGCTCATTAACCAGAGGAACACAAATCACTGCATTAGCTCATCAACCAAAGGTTCATGTATCATTTCCTGTATAACAAAAACTAAACACCTACACTAAAATTCAGGAGTAAAACTGGCCAATGCTTAGATTATCCATTCCAACAAATTTGCTCAAAACTACTTAATGACTGATTAAAATCATAGTTATGATGATGCAATGTACACCTGACAAACACATGCACATGGAACATGATGCACTTGAAGTTGCACAAACACTAAACAATTTTAATGCTGTTTCCTTGCTGGATACCAGGCAAAACTGACAATTAGTCTCTAATTTAGCTTGGCCAAAGCCTGTCACTATCGGACAATTCACTGGTATGCATCAATTTCAGACATGTAAAAACAGTGCTGAGGAACATGACAGATGTCAAAATACTGGACTGCTTTTCAACCTCTTCTGAACTCTAGAATACAGTGGGGGAGACAGGGAAGTCAGAGTTCAAAAAATAAACTGGCACCCTGGCGCTATCAGCACCTGGGTCACGATGAGAAGCCCCTGGACCTTCAATTTAGAATAGGTACCTGGTTCTAAAAATAATTCTTGGGCCCTCCCCTCATTCACTACCTGAAAAGAGAGACTATTTGCAATGATTTAATTGGCAAATAAAACGGAAAATTTCCCCACACTGAAAACTTACGGTGATAACATTTCTTTGTTTCCCTTTTTTTCCACCCCAAACATGCCAAATGTAAGCAACGCAAGATAACCCCCCTTCACTATTGAAATGCCCACAGCTGTGGCATGGTATACATGTATGTACGCTGGTGTTTACCGCTGAAAAAGTACTTGTGCGAACGACAACACAACAAGCGGGAACAAGCAAACTGGATGAACAGTTGAATGGGTTGCTGCATGTGTTGTGCCGGATGTCACACAGGTATCATTGGAAACAATCTGAAATACTGAGATCATGAATGACTTTTCCTGTGAGTTCATGCACGAAACTTAATGTGCCCTTACAGTACATGTATGTGCATTTTCTTTTTCACGATCAGTTTCAAGGTGTTTTTCTTTTGCATGTTCCCATTCATTGAAATGAAATTTTCCATTTGAGCATGGACGGCTCATGCACGTGTGACAGCAGTTCACGCTCACGTGCGCAATTTTCTCTTCGCAAGTAATGCTCAAGACAGCATAAATTTGCTTCATTTTCGGTCAGCATTAGGCCCCCCCCCAAAAAACACATCAGCTCTTCTTGCAACTACTTGCATTTCAAAAATGGATAGCTACAATATCCCTAAACCTCATGCTGCAGCAGGAAATTTTGTGGAAACACACCCACTTCAAATTCAAGTACAAGCATGGTACGGGTGATTCAACCTCAAATTAAATTCATGAGTACAGAAAATAGGCACATACACAAACGATCAAGTTCTCTGATTTAACTTGCAGGATTGTTTTTCCAACATTGATGTTTTGTCAATCAGCAGCTGTAGACCTGCTGTGTGCATACGGTGTATTCATAGCTTAAATGCATTGAACACAGTGCACATGTTTTCCCCACCACGATAGTGCAATGCGAAGGAAGCTGTGAAAATAATGGAAGTTCTTTTCAAACGTTGCAAAATGTAAGTAGGAAAACATATAAATACACGCGTTTTGACATGAAAAAATTTGTTGAGGAGTGTTTTGCAAAGACAGAAAAGACAACAGGATGTTTTAGTATATTTTAAATTGTTTTTCTAACTTGCAAATGTAAGTTTTGGGGTCGCGTTGAAAAATTAGGGTCTGTCAGAAAACTGGAAGCAGAACTATTTCGGGGGTCTTATTAACCTTTAATACTTTTAGCTGACTTGTGATTGAAAAGTCCCTGAGAGATATTTTCATGGCTAAATGCATACACTCATCGCTTTGAAGCTCATCGGAATAAAATACAGGCCCTTGACTGTGCACACATCAAAAAGTATCAACAAGGACGTAGAGAATGAAAAGTCCTTCCCTCCCCCCAGAAAACCTACGTTTTTCCCCCACTTCAATATTATGTCAAACAGGTCCATTTAATACCAATTACTTGAGTCCATGCTCATAACCTTTTTGTCTATGTTAGTTGTATGGGGTACATGTATGAAGAACAAAATCCTCCATGCTGAAATGGGTATGGTGACTTGCTTTCAGTTCTTTGATCTTTCCCCAAATTCAATAGCCCCTGACCAGTGGGCCTTGCCCCTGGTACCTGTAATTTAACATGTACCCAGGGGCTAAAATTAGCCCTGATGGCCAGCGATCTATTTCTACCCCTAGGGAATTAGCCCTGCTGATTTTCACTGTTTTGAGAAAATTTACATTATGCATGTGCAGGCAGTAGTTTTTCCATATTTAACTCATGAAAAGAGCACCTGGAGTAAAGATACCCTTAACTGCTGCTCTGTTGCCAAGCAACAGGGTGCCCTCTATAATTTATGCGCAGAGGATATAACCGTCAGAAAATGGCTCTTAGGCTGTATTAAAAATCAATTGACAGATCAAGTGTACAATTTTTCAAAATACATATACAAAAAAACTTGACTTTTGACAAAAAACACAGGTTCACGGCTGTGACATACATGTACATGCATAACATTGTGTAACACATTTTGGAATAACTGTTGGACTCCATGCAACACTATCAACGGTCATAATGGAGTTGTCACCTTGGACTTATTGGCCGGTGGAATTCCAGGGGGATGGCGAGTTTTAGGCAAGAAATAATCCTGCGATTGTATACAAGAAAAACCAATGTCAGTAGAAACCAAATAATCTATCGAAGTACGTACATGTATAATAAAAACAAACAATTTGCTACAATTAAGCTTCAAAGGAAGGGAAAGTTAAGCAAAACGGGATAAAGAGCTGCTTTGGTTAAGAATGGAAGTAAAAAACTGTGGCATGTGAAGATTTGACAGAAAAGCAACATGCTTCTTGGGAACTTGTTTTGTCAAACACAGGAAATGGAATAAGGTGAGTTGATTTAGAATTATTTGAGAAGTATACACTAAGAATAATACATAATGAAAAAATTTACAAGAAAAAATACAAATCACATAAAACTTAACTTGTTAACAATCTATTCTAAGAGTTTTGAACTTTTTTCATTTGAAAAAAAATACACTTCTGGTGAAAAATCCACATGGCAAAATGTCATAAGAGATCGGGGAAGTAGATCCTTTGGTCTTTGTGAAAGTAACAGAAACCTTAAATTCACATTACTCAAACTTCAGAACTACATGTAATCTATCTTGTAATTTTTGCCCATTGCTTGAAAAAATTCTTGAGAGAAAAGGCTTGCAAATTCTTTCCTAGATAAGCTAACATTGCAGATGAAGTTCTAGAGATCCTGGTTGGTTTATACACCTTATCTTAATAAACACACCATTTTGCGTCATCACTGCAAATTCTGAACGAACTTCCAACATGTTCCAACATGAAATATAAACGTACATGAACACAAAATCAAGTTCAAACTTATGACATCACTCACCAACCTTTTTATGAAGTTGCGACACAGGACAAAATGCTAATTACCTTTGATACCAATAGGTTTACATGTAGGACTTGACAAGTCTACAAGGAACAACTGGCTGCTAAAGATACACAATTTATATTGCCATGGCATTCACAACATCATGCAGATAAATTAGGCACTGAATAAAGTAACAATCAACTTTCCTAAACTATGTGCATACTTTTACATTGTACTCTATGATATTATTCAATAAGGGACCATGCAGTGCACCAGGCAAAAACATTAAATAAAGGTTTTACGAAGGTCAAAGTTCAAAGGTCACCTGCAGAGACAGAATCCCAGCTAGGAAATCCTGACAAGGGTTAGTGGAGAAAAAGACAAGTGCTGTTAATCTACATTTTCGACTCAAATTAAATTCTATGTTAATTTTACAGCGTACACGTACATAGACAATGGCTTTTCCTGGTTAATGAAGCAGGTTTCAAGAAGTAAGCACATGAAATGGCAAAAACACTTTCACTCCCATATCCATGAGTTCCTCTCAGTCATAAGCTTTGCGATCTTGAGTCAACCAACTTATGAGATTTATGGTACTGAAAGGATTACATGCCAGCATGCAGAGAGATCATGAATTCAGGTGATGACAATATGATGACAGAATGATGATGTCAATGAGGATGGAAGAAGTGAGGAAGAGGGATGACAGCAGACTTGACATGGACACGGACAAACCCATGGATTACAATGGAGATGACAGAAAACAAAAATATGACACAGCTGACAGTGGCATGGACAGGTACGGCGGGAAAAAAAGTGACACTTATAATTGAAAAATGACACTGGCCATCCAAGGTGCCATTATGATACCAAAGAGCATGGTGATGAGGAAAGTGATGGAACTAAAAATGGGGTTCCAAAAGCCAATGACAAAATGGTGATGGTAATATCAGGCATGCAACTTGAACTTTGACAAAGAAGGGAAATTCTAATCTTTACAAGACAGTAATACAGATGACAGAACGTTGACAATTGCAAATCAGTTGCTTGAAAGAACTCTAAAACTGGAGTTCAAATCTTAACAATTTTTTTGCTGTCAAGTGTTAGTCTTAATGTGGAACGTTGTAACACTACTCTACTCTACTGAATATTCACTATCATCTATCTAGCATCTAACAAGCATGACAAATGTGAGTATACAAAAGCACCAGCCACAGACTAGCACACACCAAGGTCTGGCAAACAGACCCAGGGATGGACAGCGTGAGAAATCCTAGGACAAATCACCTGAGACTCAAGAAAGGAGAGCTTGCGAGGCCGCATCGGTCCCACATCCTGAAACAAGGAAGGACAGGTCATGGATGTCATGGAGGATAAGACATCAGTTCCATGAAAAGGAGTTGTAGTGTAAAGGGCTGGGGCTGTGAAAACATGGACCTGGCTTCAGGGGTCATGGGGTCATGAGGTCATGGGTAATGTGACCATGGGTCATGGGACTGTGGATCATGAGGCCTTGGGTCAGGAAATCGCAAGTCATGAGGCCGCAGGTTACAGTACATTGCGATTGAAAGTTAACACCAAAATGGGAAAAACCTTTTCACATTTTTTCTCTTCCCAGGGAATTCCTTTTCATTTCACAAATTGTGAACAAAGTGCGCCAAAAGTGGGATAATATTTTCACACCTTTTCACACAAGTGGGAAAATATTTTCACAGATTTTCCCCCAAGTGAGAAAAGATTTTCACACTTTTTCTCACAAGTGGGAAAAGATTTTCACAGATTTTCTCTGATAGTGGGGAAATAATTTTGCAAGCTTTCTTCATTAAGTAGTATTTATGCATGTACATGCAGACATCAGGAAGATTTTGTTCTCTGTGGTTTCAAACATTACCATCTCTGAATATGGAATTCTTTGGAATATCCAGAAGATTACTTGAGGAAGACAGCATTAAAATTTCAAGGCAGTATGTTTGTCGGTTTTGAGCAAAATATAATTCGACAGGCGAAATCAAAGCGGGATATGGTGGAGCTTGGAGACCAGCACTGAACACCGAACAGCTGAATTACAGTAGATTCCCATTATAGCACTCTCAAGGGGACCTAAACAGAATTGAGCGTTATAACCGCAGAGCCTATAGCGTAAAACCGACTTGAATGGACGTCCAACATATGTGCACATGTACAGATACATGTACGTCTACATGTATCCACATGTTGTCATGTACTGGTATGTGAATTACGTTTACATATATTGGCAGATGTATGTATTGCAATTTCGGAATAAATGCCTTGTATCAAGTTTTCTCGACATTTTCGTGACGCCGATCCAAAAATATCACCAAATCTCTTCAAAAACTGCCTCCTCGTACATGCTACATCGCGGCGCACAAACTGCATCTACACCCACCGCAACATCCAAACTGCTACTGCATACCCATTCATGGTTAGTCCAATCGCTGACTTTTCCAAATAACCATGTGACCACAAAAAATGACATGTCATTAGAAAACCCAAGTGAAAACAGACCTGATAAATCACACCGAACACAATCGGTGAAAAGACGATATTTGCTACATGAAGATATACGTAGAATTTAAGCAGTTGATTTTTATTTATCGGTAGAAAGAAACCCGTTGGCAACAAAATACTCCATGGAGTATCTCAATGTTGATTATTTTGTGTGCCAAACTACACCACGAGAATAAATAAAAAGTGGGCAAATAACCCATGTCGCTACAGGAGAGCAAGTTATGTTTGTTGTAATAGTTTCAGGTGCTCCATAACTTCATGACTCGGGGGAATCCCGTTTAATTACTCAAAATCCAGACAAGTTTTTAAAATCTATTCTCCGACAAGTTTTATTCATGGTAATCCAAGAAAACAACAGCGCCACGCAGGCGCGTCTCGCTGTGGTGAGCACGTGCTCGCGATCGCACTGCATGGACCGGACGGCTCAGCCGAGGAAATCGCTACTAGACTACAACAGCACACTCCACGTGGTGAGTTGGCCCCGACTGGCCCCAAGCGCAGCGCAGCCTGCGTAATGGACTCTTCACTGCATACATGTACTAGTTGTGCGCGTGGGGCCAGTGTGGAGCATTTCGCTGCACCATTCTTCTCGTAAATTTCTGCATAATTTGCGTAACCTTTTGCACTGATTTTGCAAAAATATTCACACTGTTTTTGCACACTGTTTTTTTCTCAATGTTTGGCAAATGTTTCACGCCGTGTTTGCAAAACGTTGGCACCATTTTCGCACAATTTTTGCACTGTTTTTCACATACCCCTTTCGCACCCGATTCACTGCGCATTGGCAGGGGGGAAAAGCTGTGGTCAAAATGCCATGCGAATTCCTTTTGCATTTTTTCCCATTCCTTTTCGCAGCGTTAACTTTCAAATGCAATGTACTGTATGAGGCTGGAAGTCATAAGGCTGTGGACCATGAGACTGTACATGTAGGTCATGCCATGGGTCATTAGGCTGGAAATTATAAGGCTGTGGGTCATGAGTCTCTGGACCGAGGCCGTGGGTCATGAGTCTGTGAACCGAGGCCGTGGGTCATAAGACTTTGGGTCATGAGGCTATGGGTCATGAGGACTTTGACCATGAGGCTATGGGTGATGAGGCCGTGGGTGATGAGACTATGGGCCATGAGGCTGTGGGTTAAAAGGTTGTGGGTCATAAGACTGTGGGTTATGAGGCTGTGGGTCATAAGACTGTGGGCCATGAGGGCGTAGGTCATGAGGCTGTGGGTCATAAGACTGTGGGTCACAGAACTATTGGTCATAAAGCCGTAGGTCTTGAGACCCTGGAGTCATAAACATGGGACCATGGCTCAGAAGCGCCTGGATCATGAGACAATGTGTTACAAGAATGTGGGCCATGAGACCCGGGTCACAATGCCATGTGTCTTGAGACTGCAGGTCTTGAGGCCAAGGGTGAAGAAGCCATGGGTCATGAAGCCATGCGTCATGAGGCCATGGGAAACAGGGTCATGCGATGGGACACGACGCATGTCTAATAAGGGGTCATGGAGTCCATTAAAACCATTTCTTTATGGCTTCTTCATTAATCACGAGTTCATAAATTATGAGTACATGGTTCACGATTCATGAGTTTGGTGGCAATTAATTCGGGAATCAAGTGTCAGGGTCAGTGACTGTGGTCATAACAGGGTCATGACCCTGTGTAAAGTGGTTATAAACTGCACTAGAAAAGGGAAACAATTTCATGGCTTCAAAAGGGAAATTGTGGGATTTTAATCACGCTCAAACATGTTGATTAGTGGATTAGATTTAACATTGATCAGAATTGCTTAAAAAATCTAACTCAGCTAGCAGAAATTTTTTATTCTGTAAAAATCTACCAAATAGCCGCAAGTACCAGCTGCTTCTGCAACTTTAAGAAAAAAATAGCTGGAGTGGAAAAACTAGACACGAAAACGTGGGCACAGAAAAGGAAGGTCCAAAAATAGATTTTTTGGACTTGTAAGAAATTAAAATTGGCTGAAGAGAACAGATGACACAAGGCATGTTTTAAAACTGACAACACTTTTAAACAGTGCCTCTTTAAGAAGTTATCAAAAACTCCATAGAGGAGTGAGCTTTAGAGTTAGAAGGAATGCTGTCAGAGACAGGCAGAGTAGAGAGAAGGCAATCAACTCACTTTCAACGGTAGACCTTTTTCTTTCCTCTCGTTGTACATCTCCCGCATGTCAATGATCTTATTCTCCAGCTTCTCCACTGACCAAATCTGGGTGCCTCGGTCCTTCCGCTTGACCTGGATGGCTGGCTCGCTGACAATGGCTCCTCGCTAGAGAAATAGCCAAAAAAAAAAATCCCAAATCTTTGGTGAGTTTTTTCTCACAACACTATATGCATTCTCAAGCTACTGTACCAAGGGATTTTAATCCAGTCAAAATAATGTTAGATACATTTGCAGAATGGAAGGTGCAACATGATACTGTCAGATGAACCTCCCTTTCAAGGCATTTCTGCTAGTAACCTTCCTGAATCCTCCAAAATACTCCACTGTGTAGGAAACCTCTGTCTTGTCCAGTGTCCTTTGATTTTCCTGGGGTATCAAGGCCTGTAAATTGTGGTAGCCCCTTTGAATTTCTGAATCCTGCCATATTTTCTAAAACATCCCAGTGGATTTTGAAAGATCAAGGGCAAGTTGGGGTCCAGTGACAGAAACAGATCTCTTTCGTACCACAATTTTTGTTAACTGTTACATTTTGAGGTGCCAGGCAGGACAATTGACAAACCAGCTCCAAGGGTGCTATCAACCTCTCCATCCCTCTGAAATGAGTGTAAATTTACTCTTTAGAGTAAAAGAAACCAGTCAATTAACAAGAAACGTGACTTGAATCTAAAGGACCAACATCAGCCAGATGTGGCACACCAGCGTGCAAATGACTCTCAATGTTTGCAACACATGAACAGTGCTCTTACCTTTCTGTTTGGGGTGAGGTTGCAGGCTGGTATCTGCAACGTGACTCTGAACTCCGTCAGTTTGCCCATCTCCTCCCCGAGAAAGTTGGCCTCTCGGACCAGGGCGTTGGCCTTGACCACCTCCTCCCGTAGCCTGGCCAGACTCTGACGGAATAGTTCGTCCCTACAAGAACACACCGTGACAAAATGTAAGGATTCAGCGCATGAGTGTTGTAGTAGAGGCCCCCTTAAGATTATCACGAGACCTCCAGTCTGAATTCAGATCACAAGCTACACAAATATTGAACGGCAACAAAAGCATTCCTTTGTAATGGTTCACCTACTTACTTCTGACTGGTGTCATGAATGGTCTACTGATTGTCTCAACTACAACACTGGAACAAAAAAATATGTGGACCTGTTGCACAAGCTGCAAAGACTGTCACTGCCATACACTTTACCAAACGACAATCCCAAACTGAAACCTCCTTGATCTTAAGACAGTAATTGCACCGGGTGATGACAAATTCAAAACTAACTTTGGTCAGACCAACGTAAGAAAACTTCACCAAAAGTTCATCCCATGATCTGCATGTGGATTTCCATGTATGGCTGCGTAACAACCACAGGGTGGTTTTTGTAGGCCCCAAACAAAAACAGATAGTGCTGTGTAGCCTACTCAAGAACCAAAGAAGTATACATGTATATCGTGTGCACTGGTGGTTGAATTCAATGGCCCCAAGTGTGCATAACTTTCATCAGCATGTGTACAAACCCATAATGAATTTGCATGAGGCTGAGGTGGACTGAGAGATTTTACTCTGGTCCATATATGAGAGACCTGTGAATATTTAAAGGACTGAGTTAATGAGTTACTCATGTAAATGCTTCCTGAACAATTCACACGGGGAGTTATGTACATGTACGGTACTTACTTAATCCATGAAAGTATTTCTTTAACGACAAATTAAGTTTGTGCATGTATGTCTTCAAGGAGAGAGTTGATGGTTGAGATGGTATACCGGTACGTGTACAGCTTGATTGCAGGACTAGTCTGGTTCCACACACATGTATCATTCAAAAAACTAATGTCACCAGACTACCACTTTCTCACTGTGCTCTTTGGGGCAAAATTACCTGTGTGTGACATGTTCTTATATCAACAAGGAGTGTAAATGAAGAAATCAACCTCAAATACAAACACCTTCCAAATGTACATTGTACATAAAACAAATTTTACAGTAGAGCACTAAAATCAATAATTGATTCTGCAACTGGATACCATTAAGAATTGGCACTTGTCTTCTCCAAAAATAAAGAATGAGATGGTTATTTGGAAATGGTTGAAGCAATCATTTCCTGAATTTGATTGTAAACGGATGACTGCCTTGGTGATTCTTTATTGATTTGCTGAATGGGCGTGATTGGCTGATGCTGATCAAGTGATAGGAGAAGATGGCGGCGACAAGGAAAGTCTTGACTTACTTCAGCCATGAAGAAGGAGAAGGGCTAAGAGGAGAGATACTAAGACTGCAAGAGGAGGGGTTGAAGACAACAAGGATAAATGACACTGAAAACGGACATGAAACAAAACACAGCCTGCAGATGCCAGCCAAACAATGAAATCTTCAAATGGGGTCCAAGAGAGAGTTTCAAGAACTCTAATGGGCACATTGGAAACTAACACTGTTTACTCACCCCCTTAATTGTCTGAAACCTCCCATTATTTTTCAACAATTTCAAAACAGTAATATATCCACTTAACTTTCATTTTTTGTTAGGATGAAAATGTTTAAAATAAACAGTGAAGAAAATCAAAACAAGAAAAGCAACACAAACTTTCCAGTACTTTCTGCAATTTTCAAATAAATTTTCTTACATAATTGTCTTGTATCTTGCCCAAGCCAAATATTTTTGGGTGAAATTTTGAGACAACTGGCATTTCCAATAAATGCGTTTTAGCCCTTTCCCCTAAAACTCTACCTACAAGGATGACCAATCCCTGTGTTTCCAGCATCATGCACAAACCTTCAAGACAACCCAATTTTTTTCCCCATGTTTCCTCCCCTAAAAAACAAAACCAATCAACAAAACTTGACATGGCCCTGCTTCCCCTTCCTACCTTTCCTCCGCCCACTCCTTGTACTTGAGGTTCGGTCCCCCATCCCCGCTGCTAGCCTCGCTGCCGGGGCTCTGGTCCGAGTAGTAGGCCGTATCGGTCCGCTCCCCGCCGCCGGCACCAGCCGCTGTCCCCCTCCGCTGCGGCATCAGCTGCTTGCGCAGTGACTCCAGCTCCCGCTCGTACTTCTCCCGCTGCTTCTCCAGGGCCCCCTTCTTGTCCTTCTGGTGCTGGGACTCCAGGAGCTGCATGGCCGCTTGGACAGGATCTGAGAGGTGAGAGGGGGGGAGAATGTAAAATCAAACAGGTGGTAATGTAAGGCTTCCATTGAGGTTTCCTCAAGGTTTGCCCCAAGGTTTAGATTCTGCGGGTGTACCTAGAGGTGACACCACAATCTACCCCTATTTGAATTTTGCATTCTTCCCAATATGAAAGTATCAAATACTTCATGAGTGGTTCCAAGTACTCAAAAGCCATCACAAGAAGTCAAAAGTACCCAGATCTCGATATCAGCCACAAGGTACCTTTACTCACATATAAACCCACATTCAGGCCAGCAAATTTTTGATTAAAAAATATCAAACTCCTCCAATGAGCATGAAACCAGTAGTGTTCATCGTTTTTAACTTATATAGGGTATCAAGTCTCATACATGTACATATCAATAGTGGCTGGGCTCTATCTTCCTCAATCCGCCAAATCCTGGAAAAGGCTCTCAAACCTGGTGGTGGATCTTGAAGGTTTTGGGAGGAGGTTAGGATCAAGATAACCGTGATTACCTACCATTGGTCATTTCTTTCATCATGACCTCATTCTGGGCGTAGACGAAGTCATAGTTGGAATTCTGCGGCTCGGCATCTGGAGTGGAAGCACCGCTGGATCCTGCCAATAAATGGACAAAAACTCATGAGGTCACAGGTGGCCGGTCAAATGACAAAGGTAACAACGTAAAAGCACAAACCACTTTTTGGTCGGGCATTACTTTCTGTGCTGTGTCTCTTTATCCTGCTCCACAATTATTAGACTTGAGTTACAATGTTTGGACAAAGTTGGTTAGATTTCTTGAAGATGGGGAACATTACAGCATTCTCAGAATTCTCACCAACTCCAGGCGGCCTGGGGCAGTTGATTCGGAAGAAGTGGTAGTTGCCTAGGAGAATCCTGTCACCGTGCCTCAGAGCTGTCCGGTCAGTTATTGTTGAACCATTTACACAGCATCTGGAAACAAGTTGTTGATAGGGGTAGGGTAGGGTAAACTTTACACTAACAGACTAATAGATTCAGTCACTCGAGCTGTTCAATTGTTCAGAACTGAGCTTTCTAAACACCAACCTCCTTGCTCTTTTAGGATGAAAACGTTTACTCTTGTAGAGTTCAGACACCTTTAAGGTGGTCGCACCATGTTTTGACATCCACAAAAATTGTTGTACCGGTACAACATGCAAGCAGTACCTGCAACTACAGAACGCATGTTTGGTCTTGTCTGCCCATCAGGCTGTCTGTCTCTTCTCATTTTTTCAACTTACTTGGCTCCTTCCATGGGTATTAAGTACACATCCATCTCATTCTCCACATCAATGATGCAGTGCTGAGACATGATGCCCAGGCCGTTCAGCTGGATGTCCTGCTCCTTGTCAGAGTCCACTCTGCCCACCAATGTGTGCTCCTGTTACAGCAAGAGGTCAAGAGTGTGTTACATTTCAGCATACAAATTCCCAAGTGGCATCTAACAACATCTATGATTGGTTAATATATTGAAACAGTTTCCAGGACTACAGTTACTACATCTTTCACCCTAACCCTCCAATATTTGTCTCAATCCACCATGGAGTTTTTGGAGAACAAGCCAATTCAGTATTTCAAGAAGGTGAGGTCTTTTCAGAATGCAGTACCTGTTGTCAAACCAGCTTGAACTGAATGTGAGTCAGTATTGGTCTGGGCTGGGAGGGCCGACCTAGCACACATACATGTATATTGATATTCTTGAATCCCCTACAATGTGCCTCATTTTGTACACACCCTATTGGAATCCTGAATGAGGCAGGTGGAATCCATTTATTACTATATTTCTTTACATGGGACTCCTTGAAAGTTGAAGCACAAAGAATGTGCCACTGCATTTTCTGCATGGACGACGATTCTGGAGTTGTCAGGTAAGGCCCTTTGACGAATCCTTTAGGACTTAGGGTTTGCGGCTTATATGAGTTCACCTTAAGGTAGTAGACCAGTAGCTCATTCAGGGATGGATCGGCATTCAGGTTGACCAAGAAACACCTGTTGCGTTCCACTTTGATACCAGATGTCTGGACGGAGATTCCCATTCTTTCTAGAGTCTGTTGCCTCTCCTACAAACGACATCACAGGTCTAGTGATTAAGGCTGGCAAAAACTGTAATGTGCTGACATTTTCTTTCTGACATTTCTGGTACACATGCCAAGTTTACGCACTTGTGTGGTGCCAATGTGCTCTTTGAAAACAGACAACAAAGCATGAAACAAGGCATCTACAGGGCAGACTTACGTGTACAATGTACGCCCTTGCCATGAGCATAAGAGGGCCATGATGGAAATTTAAGCCATGTCTGCAGACCTGCAAACATGCCATACTCCTTCCTGCGGTTAGGCATTACCACACAATAGCTTTAAAATTTAAATGAACCGAATCAGCTATGGCTGGGAGCCAAACACGCGTATATAGGGAAATGGCTGTAGCCGCTGGTCAAAGACTTCCTTGGGTGCCTGTGTTATTTCAAGCTATAGCCACAGCTTTCGAACACAGCCTCACTGCTTGGCTCAATGAGCCTCACGCTGCACCAAGAAAGGATGCAATATTCCTAGCAATGGAGGCTCCTTTGGTGGGAATTGCACTTCGCTGATTCACAAACAACTATGAAATACATAGGTTACAGTCGCATTGCTCTCAACAAAATGAACACTCCTTATCAACATGGCTCTTTCAACCAATGAGGGGATGCTTGTGCTCAAGGCAGATATCCCCTTTTATCCAGGTCTGGGCAGAAGAGATTACCTTGTGGACTTGCTCTGTCTTGAGCAGTTTCTCCTCCCAGCTGAGTGTCATTTCTTTCATCAGTTTCTCTGACTCGTGAAGTCTCTCTTTCAATGTGTCAGCCTTCATACTCTACAGAGAGAGAAAAAAGTTGTATAGTTTGGTCTGTTTCGTCTGTAGAGACAGCTGTTTTGTTTGTTTAGACTACTAAAAACTATGCTCAAATTTCAACAATACAATTACAGATTTGACTGAAGTTTAGAATATATGTTGAACCATCACAGTTGAATACGTACAGTGCACGTATGCCAAGTTTTGACCTGATGTAGCAATGTTTTGTCATCATTAATAGTTCCCGTTTAGTAGCGGCTTTGTTTTCCAGTTAAGTTCTACTAAGTTCACCTTTTACACAAACACACGTTCATGAATTGCGGATTGTCTCAAGAAAGGAAACTGTTTTGTCGTAACACTTACCACTGCCTCTTTCAGCTGCTTTTTAAGGGAGTCTACTTCTTCCCTAAGTTCACGGATAATCTGTGAGAGAAAAAGAACAAATTGGAGCACAATGGCAGTTATATCTTAAAGAAGACTGGTCATTCACAGACAGGATCATCGCTTGGTTTCCCAATCGCTCCCGTTTTTGATAAATGAAAATGATGGCCCTAAAATGGGATTTTGTTTCCAAACAAGCATCTTTTTTTCAAAATAAACACGACACATAGGAGAGCATCTCATAATTCAGAACTGTTAGAATGTTCCTTTTGGAATGGCTTGTTGTTATTCCAGACTGGGTGGCTGTTCCCTTGGGGAATGCCGCATTTCCATTGGAACACTGCCTCGGAACAGTCTACGCATAAAGCATACCATTCCTGCATTGTGGGAGTACCTTAATAGAATGCTATTAGCGTTCCAGTGGGTACAGTCTAATGGAATGCAAAAGTTCCTGACTTTTGAGATGCTCCCTAAACAGCCAGCCAATTGCTTGCTTGCTCAAGCTTGCTTGATTTTCGTGAAATACTGATGTTTCTCAACACCTAAAGATTCTTCTTATAAATCTTTGAAATGACCCCTTACTCTAGCATTGGGATCTTCATTGATCACGGCGTGGTTGACAATTCTCTTGGCCCTGTCTGCATACCGTAGTGTGGATAACGTCTCTTCATAGTTATCACTGGCGGGGCTGATTGTAGCAACCATGACTGTTTTACTATTGCCTCCTAAACACTCCTAAAGCATCAGCAAAATAAAAAAATCACAATCTCTCTCATAGTTATACTCTAAGGAAATGCAATTCTTCAGACAACATAAAATTTCACAAACGCATAAATGCAAAGCGACTTTTACCTCAAACATGTCAAATGGTAAGGTGTCCTAATCATACATGTATATGGCACTGTGGCATTTCTTCATGGCAGTGCCCGTTACCTTGAGTAACCATGTGAGCACAGAGTCCCGATAAGGCACAAATGTGTTCTTCTTCTTCCCCTTGCTGGGCACCGACTGGTCGGCTAGAGCTGATATTACAAGACCTAGCGTCGTGAGTGACCTGTAAAATCAGAGATCTTCAGTATTAAAGAGTGGCTGTGAAATCTCTCACTTAAAAAACCAATATAAGAGCCATTTAAGATGTCAAAAGTGTTCTACAAGAAAAGTTTCAGACGGACTTCATTCGAAAATGAATAATGGTACCACAGTGCTTGTGTCCCTGAGCAGGACTGTTCACTTCAATTGTCTCTCTCCACCCAAGAGTATAAAAGGGTCCCTGTGAGGACAGAGAACACATCTCAAGCACTGATTTCGAGCTACTGGAACAATGCAAAGTGGTAATAATGTGAAGAACTCTGAGACCTCAGCATGGATTCAAAGCAAAGATCGTATAGTGCTGAAAATGCTGCAAGATGGCGAACTTCACAGTTAATACACGTAAAACGTTGTAATTGCATGGGCGCCATGTGAGCAAGCGATATGCCTGCGCAATGCACATTAAGGCACAGGCGCCGCGGCAGGCACGTGCACCTAGTGAGCCTGCGCCCAAGCATTACCGTAAACTGCGCAGGCGTATCGCTTGCTCAAATGGCACCCATGGTAATTACATCTTTTGGGCAGAGTTATCCATCTTGCGCCTTCCACGCAATACAATCTTTGATTCAAACTGCGGTGTCCACGCAAGCACCACACCTATTTACTACAACCAATTTCACAGACCTGTCAAGTTATCTCCAGATTTGACTGGTCTATACTTTTCAACATTTCATTTATGATAAGGATGTTGACTCTTCTTACTTGTTGATATTGCCCCCCTCCCGGAGCCGGTCCCCTGTGGATCCCGTCTTCTGGACACGCTCACTGCCTGCGAGATCAACCAGACTGATCTTGCTGACTTTCTCACCAGACACCTGGACAGAAAATAAAATTCAGAGGGAGGAAAACATGAAACATTTTCTGTGGTACACACATACTTGTTCCAGTTTTGGGGACAAACACTTGTCATAACATCGATTTTGTAGGGACCAGAAGCATTGTGGGAACAGAGAAATGTCCCTACAACTCAGTTCCAAGTCGCCTAACCAAAGAAATTGTCCCCTTAACATGGTGAGGCATGCCAACGCACACACATGCTTGCTTCGCATACCAAGTGTGGAGGTTCCTTTGTTGTCTTGTGGTTAAGAAAGCTGGGAAAATGCTCCTTATACTCCCATCAAATGATTACTCCATCGGGCTGGATTTTATAAAGGATTTCCTAAACTGCTTCTCTTTATTTTGCCACAGATAACCCTGACACTAAAATGCCTCTGAAGCTATTTTTTAGAGAGGCGAAAACACTGTGTGGACATGTATGAGTCCACGCAACATCTTCCATATACATGTGTATTTCCAATACACACTATTCCAAGGAGCAGCCTAGAGGAGTTGGTGGGTGAATAAACTACAATCTGAGGTCAGCCATGGTGGGAGTCAAACCCAGATCAGAGGGGAGGAAAGTAAACAACGTACCCCAACCATCACCACAAAATTCAAACTCTAATCAGAGGTGGAAGGTAAAGCACCAGTGTAGGATTCGAACCCAGGTCACAAAGTTAAAGGTGAGGAAAGAAAATACCACTTGGGGAATTGAACCCAAGTCACAGAGGAGAAGGTAGCAGAGTTGTAATGACTCAGTCATGGCGACTCGACTCGAGTCCTGATGGGTAAATGACTCGACTCGAGTCTCTGTGACTAATTGACTCGACTCAAGTACAGGCTTATTAGAATCGAGAGAAAAAAAGAAGCAAAAGCTTACTTGGCTACTGGTAGATACCGGTACCTGTCACCCTAATTTATTTTCAGTGTCTAAATGAAACTAGAAATACCCAAAAATGACGTACATGAAGTGGTGGATTTTTTGGTATTTTGTTCAAAAATTTGTGACTAAAATTGACTCGAGTTAGGTGTTTGACTCGACTCGGCTACATAAAGTGACTCAACTCAACTTCTTGACCTAACTCTAGTCATAATGTTACAATGACTCAACTGGACTCAGGTCACCATATTTTGTGACTTGTTACAACACTGTATTCAAAATAAACTACCCTAAAGGGATTCAAACCCTGGTCAAAGAGGTGGAACACACAGAAAGTTGCCGCCACTGTGGGAATGGAACCCAAGTAACAGCAGAGGTAAGGTAAAGTACCCTTCTGTGATTCAAACCCAAGTCATTCCGGCACAAAGTATAGATCTCCAATACCTGTTGGAATTAATTTCAATGCCTTTGTGTAACATCAATGCATGCAAACTTCTTAAATGCCACAGGAAAATTTGAGACACTACTATTTGAAACTACTAGTAGAAGCTTGAAAATTTTTCTTTCAGAACTTTGAAACCATGACTATTCCGAGCTGATTGCTTCATCCTTTAAATTTAATAAATGTGACAGGACAGCCAAACTGGCGGTCTCTGAAAATGCCTTTTGTGACCTGACCCACTCCGGACACATTCATGTCATTTCTTGGACTGATCAATTTACACCCCTCAACCGTCATGCTGCTTTTTTTTTCTTAACCTCTTCGCTCTTTTAAATGTAGTTGTGCAGAGACAGGGCAAAGAGAAATGAAAACGATCCTCCAGAAATCGAAGATATTTTAAGTGGGACTCGTTCTGACTGTAATTCCATCCCACTCCCACACATTCCCCACCGGCAAAACATCACAGACAAAAAAATTCCAGCATCTACATTTACATCATCAACTTTATTCCACCCATAACCAGTAATGCACACCAGTCAGTCTCTCCACTCGGTATCTGAAGGAGAAATGCATGTACAAGTCACTCCGTGCAAAAGATGGATGAAAACTGTTAGGGCGATCATGACTACCTGCACCTGCAGTCGTGCAATCAGCAAGATTGACTTAACAACAAAATCAATCCTGTTGGGAAACTTGTAATGCTGCTAACATTAGAAATTGAAACTGATATTAAGACATGAGAGGCCAAGGCAAGTATCTTTTTCTTGATACATTCTTCTCAGCTTGTATGAAGGTGAGCTGAATGGTGAGCTAAAGCATGGAGCTATTAAACACAAAGAGTCAGCACAGACAGAGATCAAAAGGGTCAATGATGGCCATCGCTAGCACATGCACGTGCTGCAAGGACAAAACAAATTCTGTGCCGCTTGCAGGCTACAAGGAATGCTAGGAG